TCCAATATACTATAGCGAAGTGTGAGCATGACAGATTGGCCCAAAGATGCCTCTGGTAACTAGCTATAATTCCCATTTCGCTGGAAGAAGTCATACCACAAAAAATTAGAAAATAAATTGTGAACGCTGGAAATTTGAAATGAAAACAAACATGCTGGAAACTCCTAAAAAGGGTAGTAACTCATTTTGAGATACTAGTCAACCCACTGTGTATTTACATTGTCTGTTCATGTGCGTACAGTTTTGATTTGCGTTTCCCACTAATTTATAGGACTTTTGAACAAAAAATACAAAATTCATGAGAACTTCTTCATGCGTGGCAAAACCTTCTCATATACACTCCGTTCATAGGAGCATTGAAAAGAATTGCTGAAGTAGAAAATTGATAACCAAGTAGTTAAAAGAGCCAAAAGAAGAAAAGATGAGATTGATGGTCAGATGAACGAACCATATTCCAAATAAAATAGGAGTAACTACTGTAACTGGTGGGTCAATCTCCTTCAGGATGTGTTTCCATGCCCAGACACTGAGCAGATGTTTTCTGGGCACTGTAGGTATCTAGAAATCCTTGGTTGATAAAACTACTTAAAAAAAGAAAAAAACTGCTGAAAATAACATGGGGAAATACAAGCTTGGAAGAGTGAATGAAGAAAAGCTGCACCAGGGAATTATTTACAGGCAGCAGTGCTCAATTCCAGGACCATTTTCCACAATGTGACCTGACCTACGAGATTAAGGCAGCAGTGCTTAAAATGTAGGGAGGATCATATAACGGCCCTGCAGATTTCCTTTGAGGGAAATGCTGCAGCTGTTACATATGAGAAAGCTATTCCTCTGGTAGATTTCGACTTTAGTGCCTGGCAGACAGGATTTACCAGCTAAGGAATAGGTAAAGAAATCCATTACGTAAGCAAATGGTTGTTTGAGGATGGAGCAACTTAACTTATGTTATTTCTAAGTTACAAACAGGAGACTCTGAAAATTCTGTATATTCAGTAAAAAAAATGCATTTGTGCATCTATAGAAAGCTAATGCAATGAGAATAAGATGAGGTCTGCATGGGGTTTAAAGAATGATTGGAAATTAAGATTGAGAGGAATAGAAACTTTATCCTTCATGATTTGGCTCAATATAAAATCATTAAAAGCTTGGAGCTCACTTCAGGCCAGTCTGACTTATTGGCTGAAAGCTGCTTTCCATGTGAGAAACATTATGTAATATATTGCTGCTGGTTCAAATGAATGTAATACAAGTTTCAGCAAAACCGAAACCCAAGCTAAGAAAATGTACTTAAATGAAATACTCAAGAACAACGAGTCTTTTATGAAATTCACAATTAGGGAGTGAATCAATTCTGAGAGGACATCAAAGCTTCAGTGAAATATAAATAAGCCTTCAAACTCCAGTGGAGTTCATTTCAATTCCGTTTTTAAAAGTTAGCAAGCATGGTAGCAAACAATTTCGCAAACACTGAGCAAACAATTTATAAATAAAATAATTTTTATTGTGTTTTATTATGTCAAAATGTTTCACAAGCAATTGCTGCCAAGGTTGGTGACTGTTATTGCAATTACATATCGCAACTGCAGTATTTGCACCATCAAGATCTAAAAACAGCCATGAGGTGAATAGGAAGCAAGGCAAGGGAACTTAGTTCAAGGGCAGTGAGGCGATTTATTGAACTGAAAACAGTTCCTGTAATTAATGCAATTTCAGGAGATTGATGTTGATTAATTATGCAGTAATTGGCTATGGGTTTAAAGGCAGAGCTCTTTGCGCCTGATTGTTATAGTTGTTACAGAATAAAATGGAGAGTTCAGAAAGCACCCTACCTGGAAATTATAGTACGGTTGGAATTTCTGGTCATGTAATATATGCATTGAAGCAAAAATGAACAGTGAAGATGGAATTTTATTATTACGGATGAAACTTGTTAATTTGTATAAAAATGTTGAAATAATTTCCATAGCAATCTTACATACCTTTAAACAGAATGTACAGGTGAACAGCCTGTGTGGGCTTAATAAACTTCCAATCAAACTTTGAATGCAGGCAGAAATTCAACTGGCCTATAAATGAGGGTCACTCTTGACTTTGCCATTGTTTTATGAACAAGCACGTGCTGTTTTTCAGCTGACTACCTTTAGAAGTTTTCAACTGATATTAAGATTTCTGTATGGTTAAGACATGTCATCGTAGACAGTTTGCAGTCAATTGATTCTCGGTAATTTATGAAATGTCGCTTTGGAAATGCTCCAAATATTTCCATCTTGAAATTAACACCTTGCATGCTTTGTTTTACATTTCACGTCACATGGGAATCGCAGTAACATACCATGTGTTTGTGCATGGGAAAAAATAGAAATACAGTACAATACAAAATTACATTTATATAGCGCCTTTTAGGTTGGGGGGACGTCCTAAGGCGCAGGCAGTATGGCAGAAATTACAGTATAATATAAACTGGGGGTCCATAAGTCACTGGAGGTGCAAACTTTTTCAAAAAATACTTTTGCAAATTGCATTGAAATGTAATATCATCGCTTTACAACATTGTGACAAAATGATGCATGATACTTCTCCCTTCCAAGCAAAGAAAAATATAGAATAACACATTTTATTTTAAGAATGTACTCAAGAAATGTTTTAAAATGAGGATACGCTTATATGGCAATAAGAGCCTTGTCTATATGTGCACTTAGCAATCATTCTGTGCTTCAAGAAAATATTTTGTAATTTAATTTGCTTGCTAACACTGAGCAATTTTGCAAACCTGATTTCCATTTCCCAGAATATGCTGTGAACTCATTGCATATTCTAGGAAACAGGGAACCTACTTTGTAAAATCATTTCACATTACCACCAGCAACAACAAAATTAATCCCTAAATGTTTAATTCCAATCAAGTAACACTCCACTTTATGATAATGTAATGGGTTCCAATACCAATACATTTAAACACGTCTCCAGAACATGCAAGAAATGTCCTGTAGTATTTTGTAGTTCTGATGAATATAAAAACAACCATAGGAACAAGAAAATTTAGCTCAGGACTAGAAGCAGTGGATTAATTCACCAGTTGTACCTCAAGTAAAGTGTCAAGATTACCTATCACTCAAGATAAATTGTCTCAGTTGGAATAATTTTGTCACGGCAGTGACACTCACAACACACAACTTGACGTTTGAATGTGAATGTGGGGGTGGGGGGCGTGAACATGCAAAATAATGAAACTAGAGTGAACCACTCCACTTCAACAGAATGACATCATTCAATTTACCTACAAAAATACAGTTACTACACTTTACAGTGAATCTTGTTGAGCACGTTGAGATTCAGAAATTTGAAATTAGTTATTTCTTAGCCAATATTGTTTAATTACCTATTGAATCATATGGAAAACTAGATTTTCTAAACCTTCAATATTTATGTTACGACACATACCCTTTACTCTCTTTTTAGTCAAAATCTTCGGAAAAGTTGTCTCTGAATCAATATTCTGGGCATCACAAGATTGGAACAGAATTACTAGAAAATGAACAAAATGAACTAAAGAAAACTAATCTCACTTTAAAGTGGACCTTCAAAGGCACAAAATGTTTTTAAAGATAATAACTTGAAAGAAAAAAAATCATTTCAACTTTAATGGTTATCTCAACCTTAGTGATTATTTTAAGTTGCAAAATCAGGATCATGGACATGAATTGCTTACCTTTTAATTTGCTAAAGAAGAACATAGCGTCAACAAATACTTCTACTCCAGATCATCTGTCAAGTGTACAGCGGATCCGTGGAGTCTACAAGGATGGCTGAGCTATAATCCAGATTGGCAATTCTTAGCCCCAAGCACACACATACTCGAGAAGGAGATATCTAGAATTTCATTTGTTCAGTGGCAGAAGTTGTCACTCATGTCTGACACTAAACCTAACCTCAGAGTGCAAATTGGAAGCAGGAACAAATGATCACAAAGAAAAATTAATCATTTGAGGAAAAATAGCTTTTAATTTTGAAGTCAGATGTTTTAGACTCACAGGCATTTGAATCACAGGTTTCATCACAGCTTCCTGGTGGCTCCATTAGTTAAGCCATTGCTCAAGTAAAAGAAAGCCATACAAACCCCTTAAGGCCTCAGGTTCAATCCCTGATCTGCAGCAAGATAACTAATCAAACCTAGAAGCAGCTCTTCAGGCATATCAACACCTTGGGCTAAAGACAGTGGGGAGGCAATAAAATCAAAAGTCTCACTCCCAATTACAATCCATCCACCTCAGCTGTGATCACACACACATCAGTAACTCATGTAAATCTTAGATTTATAAAAGATGCAAAGTGTCATCGAAGATACTAAACTTTCAAATGAATGTTTTGTTCTTCTCTTTGTTTTGAACTTTATAAGCAAAAAAGTAGTTTCATCAGCAATCATAAAAACCTGGAACTATTATATTCGGATGTGACTTTCTTCTTTCTTGAGGAAACAGCAATGTCAAAGGATATTCTTTGGAATTTGTCAGGAAATCTTAATTAAAATGATTTTCATTGAAATAATGACCAGGTTGGGTAATTTCTTTACACAAAGGAATATGAAGCATTGTATTTTCTATGCGTAATGGAAGAGTGACCTTCTGTCTGAGAAAAAATCTACGAAATGACTTTAAAAGAGACGTGCTTCATTATTTTCTATATATGATACTTAAAAACATATTTGGGAGTGGGTCCAAATTGAAAGGGGGATTGTGTTATCATAGTCTGCAACTTTAAGATAAAATACCATTTTAGAGTTAAAATAACTGCCCTCCTAAGCACACTGATCTGTCCTGTATCAAAAGCGTATTGCATTCTTTTCGAGCATTATTTTCCCTTTCTACGTGAAAAGTGAATCTGTCAAGCATGAAAATGGTGATTCCCATTATCACGCCTTTTTGAAACCTAACTGCAATGAAGCGTTCCATCAAAAGCATTGTAATAGCGGATACATCAAAGCAAAATGTTGCACTTACCTTGGAAAAGCGCGGCATTTTGAAAGATCAGAAACTTTAAATCAGTGCTGGAAGCCCGGAGAACGTGCCCCATGTTTTGACGAGCAGCAAGTTGGTATCTCTCCTCCATTTTTCTTGTGCAACATGTTGGACCATTAGGGACACAGACCTGCAAGTCGGAACCTGAAAATACAGAAATGCAAATCCTTTAGATGCAATGCAGAACTGGAAAGAATTTGAATACTAAAAAAAAATTCTTTGTAAACATTGACTCCAATTTATTGCTCCAATTTTAAGCCTTCAAAGTGCATGTTTATTCCACTCGCACTGAGAAATGATGGATTATTTCTTACTCAAAGACATTTTCATTGGTCTTAAGACCCCGTCATCAATCCTCTAAGATAAATCTTACTCAGTTGGCTTATCTTCCAACACCTTTGCATTTGTGTTGAACATGTGTAATGAGGACTCAAGTTCAAGAAAGTGAAACTAGAAAATACCTGAACAAAGATATATTATAAAATTCTACATTTGAATATACATAATGATTATGTTTCCTCATTATACGGTGCATGAATCAAAAGATCAGCAGCTATACTGGTTTATTCCTCCCTACCTCTGCGACCTCCTAACCCTCTACCAATCTGCTCGCTCCTTCCGCTCAGCGGAAGAAACTCCCTTCCGGCCTGCTTCACGTCCCCAGCCTCGCCTGCCCCATCATTGTCGGGCAGGCCTTCAGCCACTCTACTCCCACCCTCTGGAACTCCATCCCGCAGTCCCTCCACCTCACCCCCTCCCTTGCCTCTCCTTCAAGAACCATCTCAAGATCCTCCTCTTCAACCTTGCTTTCGATCAACCTCCTTCCCACCCCTACCTTCCACCCTCCCCAATCCAGACCCCCAATTCGGGTCTGAAACACTGACTGGTGTCTTGGGACTCATCCCAATGTGAAAGGCACTATGCAAATGTCATTTTGTTGTTGATATATCTGAAACTACGTCTCGACAAAGCAGCTTGGCTAAGAAGTGTAGCTGGGTATGGATAATAAAAATAGTGAACAGTGAAGGGAGAATTTTTGGTATAAATAATAATCCTTGCATTTGATATTGTGTTTACCACATTGTCAAAATGTCTACAAGCACTTCACAGGATTTTTACTGTAAAATGTGGTGACAGTATTTCTTGGCAAACATGGACAATTTGCGAATAACAATATTCCCCAAACAATCATGAAGTGAATGACCACTTTTATTTGAATGCACACCTGAACACATTAGAGGTCACTGAGAAATTATCATGATAATTCTAGCATTTGATACAGTGCCTTATCACATCATCAAGACGTCCCAAAGTGCTTCACATATTATACTGTAAAGTGGATTGATTTTGTGTTTTGTGGGTGAAACACGGCAGCCAGTTTGTGCACAGCAATGTTGCACAAACAGCCGTGGAGTGAGTGACTAATTTTATTTGGGCAATTTGTTGGCCAGGACACCAGGAGAAACTCCCTTCTCTTTTCGAAAACAAATCTTAGACTATGTGACTCCATGTCCCAATATACGGCTTGAACCCACAACCTTCTGACTCAGAGGTGAGAGTGCGACCATTCAGTACTAACATACGAAATTAGTGAGCAAAACCTGAAAATAAAAGACTGTAGTGACACAAGTTGTCAGTTAGTATGACACAGCACATGAAGAAGTGTAAGCTATCAGTTAGGGGTCCAGGAACACAAGATAGGTTATGAGTCGTCAATTAGAGAGATCCAGTGAGAAACAGTGAAAGCAATACCGTTTAAAACACTCAGCTCAGGATCATACTTTGACAGTCACTTAAAGAAAATTCAGCAGCAAATGTGACATCAAGCATCAGTACAGTTGATGCAACATTGCAGGACATGAAGTTTTAGAATGATACAGGTCCTGACAGCTCATGAACTGCAGTTCACACACAATAGGAATGCCAATCAGGACATGAGCCAGTGCTCAATAAGGGAAAGAAGAATGCAAAGAATGATATTACAGTCTGGTCTGAAGGATCAGCTATTCTTTTCCAATGTGTTTTCATTTCCAAATGCTGTCTTTGTCCTGCCTTCTTTCCCTCCCTTTCTATAATGTTCCTAGCATCTCTCCCCGGCACTCCTCATGGGAACAAAGTCCAGAAATAAATCCACAACTTTTGTGGATTGGCCCTTGCATTTCCCCAGTGAATTTTCCTCACTATTTCTAACCAAGGCTGATATGGTAGTACAGATTGCAGCATTATTATCACCAACATCGCCGGACTAGCACAAAGTTAAGAACACAAATGCTAACGCTAAAGCATAAAACTTGCATTATATTAGTCACGGTCAAAAAAAGGGAATTCTGTGCTAAAATAAGATCTTAGTACAGTGGTTCCCGACTGCGAGTTTGCAAGAGTGTAGAAGAAAACCCAGGACACATGCCCTGCAGGGTACAGCAAAGTGACTGATAAATAACAAATAACATTTATAAAATACAGGATGCTCGTGGGGAGAATATATGTATGAGTCAGCTATATGAAAATCGCCTGAAAATACAGTTATTGGAATATATTTCCCCATCACCATTGTGAACTCTTTATTAATATTTACTGTGGATATAATAATAATCCTTGCATTTGATATAGCGCTTTTTACGTCTTCTAGACGTCTCAAAGCGCTTCACAGAATATGCTGTAAAGTGAATTGACCGTATATTTGTGGGCAAAACGCAGCTGTGTCCCACATTAATTTGGATTGAAAATGACCAATTTATTATTGTTTTTGTTTTTTGGAGGGATTATTATTAGGTTTGTGGAGTAAGGAAACTTGCCCAAGATTTCGCCCTCTGCCTGGAATTGAACCCAGGTCTCTCGCTTGCAAAGCGAGTGCTCTAACCACTGAGCCACAGGACTCCACGCTATGTTTGCATACAGACTGAGCTGGCGATTGGCTCCATCTTTCTCAAAAGATACTGAGCAATCAAATAAATTCAAAACTTGTTTTAAAAAAACATTTCAATTGTGAAATTCATGTTTCTAAAGACTATTCTGTAGCAAACAGATACAGGAAGTCAGGCAAATCATCAGTCTCACATTTTGCAAGACTGCTTATATGCACGTGACCCAATTCATTTCGTTGACACAAGAGTAAAGTTTATTTTTGCAGTTTGTTGCCATAAGAGCAGTGACACGAAACAGTATTTGAAGCAGTGCAGAGATGTAAAATAATTGTATTTACCAGTGGGATTCCAAATTAATATTAATGCTTTTATCTGACTTATTTGGAAGCACGCTTTCATGTCACCACTACCAGAATTAGAAATAGATTTTCACAGAACAGAAAGTGTAAAGACTGAGTGCATCACAGATGCATAAATTATAAAAAGCTTTCAAATGTCATCAAAGAACATTTAGAACATATCTACTGCTGAGGTCAAGGCCTGTGGGTATTTTTTTCACTAAATTCTAAAATTATGAGTGGCAATTTTGACAGTTTGAGTCTCAGGCCAGTGTTTCCTCTAAAATATCTATCTAATTCAGTTTTTGATCCTTTAGAAACCGATTAATCTGAATTTATATTCCCCACCTTTCCATTACAGCTCAAGAATTTGCACTGTTTGAAATCAGAGTTCCAATACTAAAATAAATAAATAAATAAATGAAAATAGAAATGATAATAATAAAAAGAAAGTAGATAATTTTCTATAGAAACTTTATCATGTTGATATGTCTCATCATTCTGTGCAGCAATGGTCATTAAGTGTGGCGACTATTTGTGTAAGCAAACACAGTAACCACATCAGCTACCAGCATTCCATAAACAGGATAACCAATTAATCTCGAGGATTGATGGGTAGTGGACCAAGAGAAACTACATTCCATTTTCGAGTAATCCCATGGATCTTTAATGTTCACTTGAACAAGCACAAGGGACTTCAGTTTAACATCTCATCCAAAAGATGCAGCACTCCCACAGTACAGCCCTGTACAGCACTGCAAAATCTACCTAGACGTGAGTTTCAACATTCTGACTAACAAATACTCATCAATACTGCCAACTGAGCCAAACCGACAATATATACAGGGAGCCTTAATATTAAGGACAATGCTCCACACATGTTTGCATAACCAACTCAACTGAATCAAAACATTCGGTCATTTGCTACAAGCTATATAAATGAATTTATGTGGTCATTTATCTGTATGTTTCTCATGAATGTGGATTAATACATTATATACATGTGTGTGTGTGTATGTGTGTGTATATAAATAAGATTCTAGGCACGTAATCCACCACCTACGTAAAGGTAAACATTTTATCTAGCATTTTGGCATTTTTTAAAAAGGTTTTGAAGATGCACAGCACACTGATCAGCACCTAAAAGCGATGGTAAAAACATCTGAATCAATCATTAACCAGTTTATTCTTTTCAAATGATGATCCCGCTCATGTGCTGTTCTAGCATTTGTATTTTAATGTATTTATTGTATTTTGTTTGGCACTGAGTTGCAAATTGTCTTGTTTATTGCATGAAGTTTTCCTGTGCCAGCATTGCGCAATCAACCAGGAGCTGGCATATTTAATCTTGCTGCTGCATCAAGAAGTTTAGAGAAATAAAAGCACCGGGAAAACAAATCACTGGTTAGGGCTTAGTAAGAACATAAATTAGATCCATTTGAAGCTGAAGCAAAAGATTTGTATTAATAGCACAATGAAATAATGAAATAAATAATCAAATTAATTATGAAGTAGGTTGCAGGTTACAGTCAAAACCAAGAAAAACAGCCTTTGTGAACAGTTTTCTCCAGGGAGAATAACAGAATGTCTACCAAATAATACATGCAGTTACATTTGGAAGAAATTGTCAGTATTTTTTACAATTAATAGAAGGAGCATATCTACACCATGCTAACTGCAACCATGCAGTCCAAAGCATACTTCCAGATTTGCTTTGGCCCATGCTATCACAGACAGTTAAGAGATCCATATAACTATAAAAGAAGCATTAGTTTAAACATTGCAAGTACTTGATATGTTTCACCATTTGTAAAATTGTCATTTTGCAGCATATAATGGAGTGTGAAAAAATAACCATATTATTATAATTAATACATGTAGTTGCTTCAGACAGAAGCAAGTTATTAGACCGTGCTTATTTGCCATGAGCAAACATTTTCAT